TTGGGGTACTATATCCTGGTTCTTGCAGTTACACCATTTACACTGACTGTAAATGACATCTGTTGTCATTACCTTCACAGTTGGTCTGGTGGGCTGCCTGGCTCCATGTCCATAAAGGAACCCTCACTTATTGTCCATCCAATCCACAAAGGCCCCCAGGGCTGTTACTGATGACCTTCCAGCATGGTCTACACAATGTTTCATTGTTAAACAGTGTTCTATCTGCTCAGAACGTTGTCTTCAGTCACTTCCAGCACCTGTTCCAGCTAGAATGCACCTCCCCTTTTAAAAGGTGCAGACTGGCTTTAAATATTGCATGTGGCTTAACGAGGTCCAAGTTTAGATCTCCTGTTGAATTTATACAGTGATTCTAATAATAAACTCAATTGTTATCTGACGCAGTTTCCAAAATCTTTCCTAACGTTGAGTTCATTGACAAACCAGACCCAGAATCATTTCTCCCATCTTGTGATTCTGAAGCATCTGAGTGACGGTAGGCATGACAATGGTGAAGAAATGAATCTGTTTATGCCTGCTCACATTCGTAATCCTTCTTGTTAAATTTCCCAAATGTATTTGCTGTCAGAAATACCTCACTAATCTGTTTCTCGAATTCAAAACCCATAGTATCACTCTGACATTGAAACCTGAAATAGATCCCAGTATCTTTATCTTAGCTTTTAATTAACTTCTAAGTTTTCCATAGTGTATCCAGGATTCATTATTTCCATTAGCATGAAAAGCAAGACATCTTCCTGGCTAAGCTCTCCATCCCCACATGTCAATAATATATTCTTTGAGATATGTCTTCCAACTATGAGAAGTGTAGGTCATAAATTAAGGATTAAAGGCTTTCCTTTTAAGCAGGTGGAAGTTTGCGGCCCTTGCAGTATAATGTTTGTACCTATGCAAGTTTTGATCTATTGTGTGTGATGGTGTTTGTTTTTTGTTGTGTGTTGAGAGACTAACTAGTCACAATAGGGATGTTGGAGTAGGTAATGTTAAGGATGGCATGGGGGTTTAAGGATGCTGAAAGATCTCATGGATACACGTTCTCAGACATTCTGAGATCATGCAGAGTACAGAGGAGGTACTGGTGTAGTTACAATATTAGTAGACTAATGATCCAGAAACCCAAGCTGATGATCTGGGGACGTAGAATGAATCCTACCATTGCATATGTTGAAATTTGAATTCAATAAAATCTGGAATTAGATTTGAAACCAGCCTTATGGCAACCGTGTAACCTCTGTTGATTGACATCTGGTACACTAATATCCTGTAGAGAAGGAAACCTGCTGTCCTCACTTAGATAAATGACATAGATCTTGGTGCCCATTTAGCTACTATCTACTAAGTGGAAGATACGTTCTTTGTTCTGTTTAAATTGCAATTGTTTTTTTCAGAATTCTGTTAGTGTAAAGGGTAGACATTTAACTAAATCTGTCCTACATGTGATTCCAGACGTACAGCATTGGGGTTAATCCTTAACTGTCCTCTGAAATTGCCTAGCAAACCATTCAGTTGCATCAAACTACTACAGCTTAAAGAAAGGAATGGAATGTGACAGACCACCTGGCATTACCTCAGCATCGAAAGCAATGACAAAAACAGCCCTGTTAATCCTGCAAAGACCTGCTTACCAACATCTGGGGGCTTGTGCCAAAGTTGAATGAGCTGTCCCCAGTCATACTGGTAGAATCATAGCCTAAAAGACAATGTCCCAGACACCACCATTACTGTCCCTGTGTATGGCACGGCCGACAGACAGGGCAGAGCCACCAGAGATGGTGGCATTATGGTGTATTATTGGGGTAAGAGTTGTCTTGGCATCCTCAACACGAACTCTATTCTCCATAAAATATAATGGCATTAGGACAAACCTGAGCAAGGAAAGTTCCTGCTGATTAACATCAACCCTCACTGTTAGATAATGAATCAGTAGACCTGCATGTTGAACACCCCTTGGAGATGCACTGAATGAGGTAAGGACGTAGAATGTACTCTGAGACTTCAATGTCCATCTCCAAGAATGGCTCAGTAGCACTACTACTGATTGAGCTGGTGTAATCCTTAAAGGATGTAACTGCCAGATAGGGTCTGCAGCAGTGGGCGAGGAAACCAACAAGAGGGAAAAATCTACTTGAACTCACCCTTACCAATATACCTGTCCTAGGTGTGCCCATCCGTGATATTATCAGCAGGAGTGACCACTGAAGAGTCCTTACAGAAACAGAGCCCACATTCACACTGCGAATACTTTCCATTGTATTGTGTGGTAGCATTCCTGTGCTAAATGGGACGGACTCTGAATAGGTCTAGCCACTCCAAACTGAGCATCCATGAGCTGTTGTGGGCTATCAGCAGCAGTGGAATTATGTTCAACCACAGTTTGTAATATAATAGCTCAGTATATCTTCCTCTTTTTCAGTGCCATCAGGCTGGTAGATCAACCTCCTTGTTGAACAGAGAGTGCAGGAAAGTGTAGCAAGAGCAGCACCAGTCTAATAATAATGTGTCAACCTAATGAAGCTACAACACAGAACTAAAGAGCAGGAGCAGCATACTTTAAAATGTCAGGAGGGGCTCAGTGCAGCAAAACATACATTTCATTCAAGAGTTTGTGTCACCTCCGTCATGAAGACTGGCTACAAAGATCATCTACTTGAACAGCATTCCAAACCATCCCCAGAAGTATCCAATGATGTTGAATTCTGTGAGATTATCAAGTAGAAAATGGGCCAACTATATTCTATATAAAAACCAAAAGAACTGCGGATGCCGTAAATCAGGAACAAAAACAAAGTTGCTGGAAAAGCTCAGCAGGTCTGGCAGCATCTGTGAAGGAGAAAACAGAGTTAATGTTTCAGGTCTGGTGACCCTTTCTCAGAAC